TTAATAATTTATGGTCAAAAACAGTTACTAGGATACATATTTTCCTAATCTTGTCAATGTGACAAACATTTAGAGAGAAATTGAAAATCCTGCTCCCTAATGGCGTACGGAATTTCATCGGCCCAAATGTGGGTGTTGATTACACATTCCCTCGTGTAACGGACCTCATCAGTTGATGGTATAAAAGATACAAAATTTGCTTGTTCGTTTATTTTTCTATTAACCTACTCACAAAAGTTTTGCCTACGTGGTAAGTCTGTTAGTTTCAATAACTGAATTTTCTGGTTCTGAAAGGGGTACATTTGTTCTCTGAGTATCCTCCAAATAATACTCTCCGATACATCACACTAGACAGTGATGCGTGCTAGTGCTCGGTCGAGCTTCGACACTCTTCAAAACAGCCTCTTCAATATTAGCAATTCTACATATTACTACGTAACTTACCCTGATCCTGAGGTGCAACTTTAAAAGATCCGCACTCTCGAAGATGCTGCAACGTTCTTAAAAGTGCGCATATTTGGCAGACGATTTGGGAGGCTTTCTGAAAAAATTCTTTGGGCGCGAGTGTCGTTTCCCCGAGCTTCACCGTACGTTAAAACGATATCGGTGCATTCCAAATTTGAAAACAAAGCCATTTCAACACATTTCGTCTATAAATTAGAAACCTGTGCCAAACAAACTTTAAAGAGACAACGTTTAATAACATACACTTGACATAAAAATGATTGTCAGTGTCAAAACGGTTGCTGGGGTACCTTCTTCATTGTTGTAGTGTTGTTATTATTTAAATTATTATTTAAGGTGAACATAGACGGCTCGTGAATATATGGGTGGGAAAATTCGAAATTCGACTTGAGTTTTCGAAAAAATGGTAGATAAAAAAGTTGTTCCGTTTCACGAGTTCTGTTACTGGTTAAAATTAATGTACTTATTTCTGAGACACCCTGTATAATTGAAAGGTAAAATATCTTGCCATTGTACATATATTAAAAATGAGATTTGTTTAACAATAGATATTTTTACATGATGTCATTTCAGTATAATTTTTTGCAAAATATGTAATATATATGTATGTAAAATATACTTATGTACTTTGAATAAAGTGTCTTTTGCACAAAATGAACTTTAAACTAATTAATTAAAATACCTAATAGATTTTCATAAAAAAAATATTTTTTAATCAGTTATACAGGGTGTCTCAGAAATAAGTACATTAATTTTAATCAGTTATAGAGCTCATTGAACTCAACAACTTTTTTTAGTAGTTTTGTCAAGAACTTTTTAATTATTAAGTTAAAAATTGTTAAAGTTATATCCCAATTAAGGTTACCCGCCCATGGATCCTCAGTCACCCATGGACACTAATAATTATTATAATTAATAATTTATGGTCAAAAACAGTTACTAGGATACGTATTTTCCTAATCTTGTCAATGTGACAAACATTTAGAGAGAAATTGAAAATCCTGCTCCCTAATGGCGTACGGAATTTCATCGGCCCAAATGTGGGTGTTGAACACCTTCCCTCGTGTAACTGACCTCATCAGTTGATGGTATAAGAGATACAAAATTTGCTTGTTCGTTTATTTTTCTATTAACCCACTCACAAAAGTTTTGCCTACGTGGTAAGTCTGTTAGTTTCAATAACTGAACTTTCTCGTCCTGAAAGGGGTACATTTGTTCTCTGAGTATCCTCCAAATGTTACTCACCGACATCACACTAGACGGTGATACGTGCTAGTGCCCGGTCAAGCTTCGACACTCTTCAAAACAGCCTCTTCAGTATTAGCAATTCTATTACTACGTAACTTACCCCGATCCTGAGGTGAAGGTTTAAAAGATCTCTCGAAAATGCTCCAACGTTCTTAAAACTGCGCACATTTGGCAGACGACGATTTGGGAGGTTTTCTGAAAAAATTCGTTGGGCGCAAGTGCCGTTTCCCCGAGCCTCACCGTACGTTAAAACGATATCGGTGCATTCCAGATTTGAAAACAAAGCCATTTCAAAACATTTCGTCTATAAATTAGAAATCTGTGCCAAACAAACTTTAAAGAGACAACGTTTAATAAAACCATAAAACCATTGACATAAAAATGATTGTCAGTGTCAAAACGGTTGCTAGAGTACCTTCTTCATTGTTGTAGTGTTGTTATTATTTAAGTTATTATTTAAGGTGAACATAGACGGCTCGTGAATATATGGGTGGGAAAATTCGAAATTCGACTTGAGTTTTCGAAAAAATGTTAGATAAAAAAGTTGTTCTGTTTCACGAGTTCTGTTACTGGTTAAAATTAATGTACTTATTTCTGAGGCACCCTGTATATTTTAGAAAAAATTCAGCATAGGTTACTTCGACAAAACTTTCCTCGCCCCTGAAATACAATAAAAGATTTCTAACTTCTTCGAAAAATGTATAAACAAAAACAAATTAAAAGTCGAATGGGGCAAAACCCATATGAACCACCTTCGATGCAATGCCACTGATCCACCTTTTAAACAGTAGGTGAAAAAACGTTCGAATAAAAACGATGTAAACACCTTCAGTTTCAATTAAGAGTAAAACCGACTTTTTGCTGGTTATCATTCGTTCATTTATGTATTCATTCATCGTTAAAGGTTAATGCGAAACATTATTAATTGTAAAAACAAATGGTGGTCCTAAAAAGAACCAATTTTTGGTAATATTTCATGCAGTGAGGTGAAAGATTAATCTTTCACCTCACTGACTTCATGATGATCGACTTATTATTCTGACGAATGTCGTCCTTGCCACATTTAAAATGCTACTACTTTTTTACAATAAATGTTGAAAATGTTGTCCGTGACTAGCACTAGGAATACAGGCTTCAGTTACATCGCAACATGTTTGCACGGATACGTAAAAAACTCCAGAAGTTCCACGAACTGTAGCGGCTGCCACTTCCACCGTTGTTCAAGTTCTTTGATAGTTTCTGGACACTGCTGATTTCCAGAAATTAACCGTTTCATCCAACCCCACAGACAAAAATCACACGGATTGAGATCGGGTGAACGCCGAAGCCAAGCTCCTGAGCCGTTTCTACCGACCCACTGGTTAGGAAAATAGTTATTTAACCATTCAGTTACTGGCCTAGCAAAATGTGGTTGTGGTCCATCATGCAAGTACCACATGCGAACTGATTCACCTAAAACCACATTTAGCTGCTCTTCCAAAGTTCCCACACGTTGTTTAAAAACTTGAGGTTCTGTGCCGCAATTCGCCGACCAACCTGTCGTTTACATCAGCCACACCATAAAGCATTACCATGTCGACACGCTCAGAATTGAAAAAATTCAACATTATCAAAGACCGAACACACTACGGCAACTAACTGATACACGACTGGCCCTGATAATATTTTTATACGTTGCTTATTTAGTGCGCCGCTTTTTTGGTTCTTAATCTTAGTCATTCTGTGCCATTCATTGAATAGTACAGTCACCGGTACGAAAAACGGGGCATCCTTTTTTTTAAGATCCGAAAATGTGCAAAATAAAGTACGATTTCGGTTGCAATACTTTGATGTTGTACAATGCTTATTGTAATGTTTTTATTCAAAAAGAACTAAAAAATATATCATTTTAATAGAAAATGATAAAAATTCAACAATCAAACTAAGCTGAAAAAAAATTTAAGTTTCCAAAAAAGCAAAATCAATGATCATTGACACACTGTTTAAGGACGCCAATAACGAGTATTTCCCCCACGAACCTGTAAGACTGCTGCCATTCTCCAGGGCATCCCATGATTAAATTGTTAATTTCTTCCTGTTGGATATTCTCTCATTCCTTTAAAAGCATATTCTGAAGCTCATCTACAGTATGGGGTGCAGGTACACTCAATTAATATGCTGGTCAAGAAACAACATCAAAAATGAGCGTAGTAAAAACGTCGAAATACTGTACTGAGAAAAATATTAGCTGACCCATTTTTCATGTCGGTGAGTGTAGTTATAGTCACGAAACACAACCACTGGCGTGCATAATAATTCATATTTAATTTCAAATAATGTTTTCCAGACATTACTGCCCCTTAGGAACGTGAAATTTGCACAGATCCATAATCATATTGTGAGCTATTCCCCATTTTTTTAATTGCACACATTTCGAAATCACCCTGTATGTGCTCAGGAGAATATATCAGAACAAGCTTTGTTAACTAATTTCCATCAGAAATAACTGTAACTGAGTGTAAGAGGCCACATTAACATAAATATTAATGTTAAATAATATTCAATGAAAAATAGTAAAAACCTGGCAAATTACTATACCGCCCTAGATCGATATATTTTCATATTTACAGGTTTTACCTATCCCAATATTTTTATGAAATTGTATTTATAATTCCAACGTTAATCAGAAATTAACTATTAAAAATTAAAACAACACCTTTTACAATATTTTTAGTGAACCTTTCAATTTGAACACAAAAAAGTAAATGTATTATGTCGTTTAGAGTTAACAATGAACTTTCTCAGGGATGTCTGAGAGTACACGATTTGCTATAATTAATGTCTAATGTCATGTTTTCTTGGCATTGTGACTACTAAAATTTAGATTTCTTCGAAACTATTTACTATTGAAATTTACCCCAAGCTGTAAGTTAAAATTTGTCAGTTCATTGCAGCTAAAAAGTTGAAAATGTCTTGCTAAAACATTATTTGAACAACTTTCAAACACCAAACAAATTTCTTTATTTATGGTTTCAACTTTATAAGGGTTGTCCTAAAAAGATGTAACTATAGAAGTTACAGTTATCAGGGATTATTATCGAAGTTCTGATGTTAATAGTGTTTTGGAAGAAAGCTATTAGTTATTTACTTACGTTCACACAACTTCAAACATTTGTTTATTATATTTAATCGTTTGAAGATTCGACTTTAACTCTGATGTTCGTAAGATTGGCAAGAGAAAGGTTTGGACAGGTCAACAAACTGAATTTTCTCCGTCGACCTGCTGACTGAGATATTGCGAGGATACCTATACTGTTGCACATCGTCAGCAGAAGCCGGCATTTGAAATTCACACAGCGTAGTGAACAGTTACTCTATTTGCTAACGTACGTGGAATATTTATTTTATCAACTGTATCAAATTGAAGATGCGCCCTTTTCATTATCGTGCTACCGAGTGAGTATAATTTTTGGTTTTCCTTTTTTTTATTTGAACTCCAACTTTCCTTAACTGCATACATTTATTTGTTACCGATTCACCGCAACAAGTCTACTTTACTCCCACAAAAAGTTTAAAAACCAGATTAACAAGACTCAAATTTTTTTGTTGAATCGTTAGTGTTTTTAGGCATTCGTTTTAACGGCATTCAACAATTGGAAAAACAGTTTGTACGTTGTGATAAAGTAAACCCTGTACTTCTGTTCCATTTATATAACGGTTATAGGTCTGCAGTTACATACAAACAACTAATTAATTATTCGTATAGTGTAAACGATTTTCAAGACGATATTTTTATAAAAAAAAAAGGTGCTTATTTTGATTACACTTATGCTTACTTTACTTTATTACTTATTTTATTATGTATGACTATTTACTTTATTTAAATTAACTCCTACAAACATAAACAAAAAACATTAAACAGTTATTTGGGCGCACCATTTGCATGTGTGTTATATTTTTCCATACACTTACGTTCTTACTGACCGCCTCAAATTTTTGGTTGATATAAAATACGCGTTTCTCAGAAAAACTGTAAACTTGTAATGTACATACATATTTAATCTTTTCAAGAAATTATCGCTTTAATATTTGCCACCTCTTTCACAAATTATTTTTATAGTTAATGTAATAATAATACGTTTATTTCCAACAGAAAAACCCAATTACCGGAAATGTATAAAATTTAAAAAATGACTACTTATACAGTGATTGGTTGCGTATTGTAATCTAAAACTATTATTTCACTATGGCAGGTATAGTGTTAATTTTAAATGCCAAAATTAAGAATGACACAGAAAAAGAAATTATATTAAATAATAAGTATGTACCATAATGCTTACCTATGTATTAGCAACAGGCGATTTTCGCAAAGCATTGGTTCCACTAATATCGAAATAAAATGCAAACGCTCGAAGAAAGTGAATTAATTCTTGACACAAGAAAATTAAATTATAGAAAAAAATATGGGCAATCATTAACTAAAGTGAGGAATAATTAAAAGAAAATATGCTTTAATAACGATGAAAATATTAATTATAATCGGGAAAAATTTCAAAGTATAAAGTCGAAATTCCTAGGTACAAAACTGAACGTCAGAGTTATAAAGTATAAATACGCAGTAAAATTAATAGTTTTCAACATATTTTCATATGGTTTTCATTTTGCACAAAACTTTTTAGTTACTTTAAATTATTAATTTTGCAAATTCTCAATTTCCCCATATTATTCAAATGAGACATGTATTTTAAATCATTTTAGCGTTCATCTATAAGTAAACTTTTTTCCAAACTAGATTTTTTAGAATTATTTTTAGGAGCAACCCCAACAAAGTTGGTAAAGCTTATTTTTAAAGACAAATTCGAAAATATCCTACAACTTTGTGATATAGTGTTTTTCTTTTTTTTATAAAGATTCTAAATCTGTAGAAACATATAAGGTGTTCTCTCCATTTGAAAAGTAGGTACTGAGTAGTAAATAATCAAAATATTTTTTTTAATTTATCTTTTATTTTTATGATTTGTGTTCTAGACTCACTAATAAAAAATGATTTTGTGTTGTTTTTGCACATATAAGTCAGCAGCACCTATCTTTACAACCCAAAATCTGCTTCAAAAAAGCTTGTTTTGAGTCTAAAAACATTGATAATTAAGAATTAACCCCCACTTAATTTTTAAAATGTGTCAAACTTATTTACGATACTTGATAATTTTTAATTTCTCACTAAATCACTTTTTAAGGGCCATTTCGTTCGTTTTGAACCGTATACAGAAAGTCATCATAAAAGTCCTAGATTTGGTCATTTTGAGTTGGCTAGCTATCTATTACGTCAGTGAAGCCTTGATATTGACCGTAACCCCAACGTTCTTACGCAAACAGAAAGATCTTCGAGGTAAAATCATCCTTCTCACTGGCGGAGCCGGAGGCGTAGGTCAAGAACTCGCTATCAGGCTTGTCAGACAAAAAGCCATTGTCGTCATCTGGGATAACAATGAAAAAGGTAAAATATTATAGATAAATTAATGTAATGAGTCGAAAAAAGTAAAAGCGAATGTGAAGCGAAAGTCTTGGTCAGAGCGCATGGAAAGTGGGACAAGAACACGTAAATTATTAAGTTTCGTTTTTCTAATGGAAATTACGCGTGTGCCTTTTAGCATTACAAAAACATTTGCGTAAAGACAATGTTTTTTTTCAGCTTTGGAAAAAGTGCAGGAAAAAATAGAATCACAGGGTCACAAAGTTCACACATATCCAGTCGATATATCTGATCGGGCGAACGTTTACAAATATGCTGATATAGTTAAGTCTGACGTTGGACCTGTGGATATTATTTTAAACAATGCTGGAATTGTATGTGGGCAGACGTTTTTGGAGATTCCCGATCACATGATTGAGAAAACTTTCAAAGTGAACATACTTTCTCATTATTGGGTAAGCCGATAATTTTTAAGAGGGAAGATCACTTCCGTTTTAGAAACTACGCTTTCTAAAGATCTCAAATTTTGCTGCATTTTCTTTTGGCTTTTTTAAGCAAAGATATATTTATGTAGATGATGTAGATCATATTTAGTTTTAACACTTAATAACGTATGATATACAATAAACGTTCTCAAGCTAACGCTAGACAGCCAAGTCAAATTTCTCGTCTACCGTTAATAATGTTATTAGATCAGGACGTTTTTGTTAGAGAAAAATTCTGTAGGGATTAATGAAAACCCGTTCAATAACTTAGTTAAGCAATTGGTGAAGTGACTATTATACGTGTCGACGCACAGTTACATTTGGTATTCTATGATTCTACATGACTACTTCGGCAATGCCAGGGTTTACGAATTACATGAAAAGTTTTTCTGTAACTGTTTTTTAATAATGAAATAATGTTCCAAAATTAAATTCCAAGCATTAAAAAAAGGATGTAAAGTATACTAAGTACTTAGCACCACGTAAAAATTTAATAACCCATTAAAAAAAATTAATCGGAAATAATTACTTTTTCACAATCTATTCTATCATTTTGACAAGTTTACCAAAGTTGCTTTTTAAGAAAATAACTAGTGGAATGGTAACTATTGTAGAAAAAACTCTAGGAAGGGAAGGTAATTATGGTAATGATAATTTACATCCTGGATCTTCTCTCCAGTTGCTTGCAACAAAGATTCTATGAATCAGAAAAAAAACTCTATCCTTTTGGCCTTTTCGTCAAACAAGCCAAAAGCAGGCAAGCATTGCAGATTATAACTGTTACAATCGGTACCTAATAAGTAGTTTGGGGGCTACCAATATTCACTATTTAGTCGTCTCAGTAGAGTTTAACTACTTGGAGTATAATTCCGAATTTTAAAAGAATTCAACAAAAAATGTTTTCAATAAATTGTTGTTTTACGTAAGTCGAATTATATTACGAATGTTACTTATTAATTATGAGCACTATCAGAAATAAATAGCTTGTAAAAAGATGTTTTGAAGAAAAGAAAAATATGCAGTTAATAGATAGTCTGCAACGAAAATGTCTACGACACTATTCTAGTATCAGTGACAATACTAAGGCATTTTGCAGTTGCTATTTCCGTTTGTTACTGGTCGTCATCGATACAATTGTTGTACCTATAATAATTGGCACAATTAGTGACCATGAAATTAGGTATATAAATAATTTGGAAAATCATTAACATAGACTAGAAATAAGAGGGGCCCAAATACGAACCTCTATGGAACGCCGCACTCAATTGTCTATATATTTGATACCCGGCTATCAGTAAACCGTCTTTTGCGGATGACTTACCAAGTAATATTTCATAAGATTAATGTTCCATTAACCTTTCAGCCTTCAGGTCTAATAAGACTGGCGTATTTTAAAGTTATCGAAAAGTAGTTACATTTTTCGTCTTCTTTATCTGTGATATGGAAAAACTATAGGTATTAGATTTTGATTTTGATGGGAAGAATCGTTATAATAAGGAAACTGTTTTGATTCTTGATGCCATCAAGCGTCGGACTGCATAGTTCTTCTCCACAACTTATCACACATGTTATCATGTAACTCCCTGTAACAACAATGATACTTACCATCATCATTAGGTAATTTTCGTCGGGTGCGTATAGCTTAAAAAAATCCATGTATCTAATCTGGAGTAAATACCTTTGATTTTTTAAGATGATAGTCTCCGCTTTTTTGTAAAGAAAGATAAAATATTCGTATATTTTCAAATATCGACGTAGTTGTTGAGCATACAAGTATCTTTAACAAGAATCTTTGACCATAGGCTCCCTGGTGACTTCACTGACGTTAATTATTTTCGAAAATAAGCGGATGATACCGTGCTTCATTCTGTGAAAAGTTTTATTATAAAAGATGTCGAGTGTTTTTAGAAATTGCCAGTAGAATTTCGATATAAAGCTGCATTTGTAGATTCTTCTATATCTACAATTTTCTACTATTTTTGTGAATGCGGGCGCCACGGAAAACCTTGGTCGCTTCGTATTACGCACTGTGAATTTTTTTTGCGAAAATTTGGCCGTTTAGAGAGAAAACTCGAAATGGATTCGTACACCAGAAGTATAAGAGTATATTATTGTATAACATTTGAATCATTTTAATTTAGAATCCTCTGAGATGACCTCGTCTAATTGTTGGTGGGTACACATGATCAGCCAAATTTACAAATATAGGTTTACCTATTTAAGAACAATCTATCCATTAGTTTCGGAGATTACCTGTCTAATAAAAATCGACACAGACGACAGACAGACGGAAACGGGAGACTACTTTTTTCGTCCTCTAGGGGTCATGAAACGTCGAGAAAATATGAAATTGGCAAGTCGCCCGATGGACTCGACTACTTAGTACGTATCTACACCTCCTTCGCTTATGCTCGGAAAGTAAAAATAATAATAACAGACCTTTAAAATATAGCCGACTGTATTTGAAACCAAAAAGCTATAGCTATTTCTATACAGATTTGACAGAAGTTACCTTTATATTCTTTGTAACCATTAAACTGAATCACCTGGTATCCGGACATCGATCTTTAGGTTTAACAACTACTAAGAAAATGTAGCAACAACTTGTCTTAAGTCATTTCTTAAAAATGAAATCCGGCGAAATTAGATATATTTATTAATTTTAAAATATTACTACTAGTATTTAAACATTAAAAAATGTTGAAAGTGTGATTTCTAAGAGAATTGACTACAAACATTAAATTTACAGACAATTAAAGCATTTTTACCACATATGATAAAAACTGGCAAAGGACATATTGTCACGGTTGGAAGTCTGACAGGATTACTAGGAACTTATAAATGTACAGATTATAGTGCGTCCAAACACGCAACTATAGGCTTACATGAAAGTTTACTAATTGAGCTGAAAGTAAGTGTAGTCTGTTTGAAAAAATTGTAAATTATTAATGTTATCAAATTGCAGACACACGGACATCATAATATCAAAATGACTCTTGTATGCCCCTATTTCATAAATACCGGAATGTTTGCAGGATGTAAACCTAGGAATCTGAAGATGTTAGAACCAAAAGAAGTGGCAAAAAGGATAATTACAGCAATCAAAAATGAAGAAGTTTACGTTACAATACCCACTTTCTCCAGATTCTTTCTTCCTATTAAAAAGTAATGAACCCACATTATACAATGAATGTCAAGTACTTACTTCAGCTTATCCACTCTTTTCAGTTTTATTCCAGCCAAACTTGCGTGGGCGTTTATTTACAGAATAATTCAAGGGCCACAATCAATGATGGGAATGAGAAACTTTGAAGAAGTTGAAGCTGCCTGATGTCGTGTTAAAGTTATGTAGTCACAATACTAGTAAAACGTAAGGTGATAGTGATAGGTTTTATTTATTTTTTTGTGAAAAAACTAAAAAACGTTTAATAAAAAATCATAACAAATCATAAAAATACTTCAGTCCTTGTCCCAATTCCCAAATAGAGATGCCTGTTCCTAGTTTTTTGCACAATTCAATTCTCTTGTTAATAGAATAAAGACTTGGATAAAAAAGAAGATGTTTTCCATTGGATTCACTGTAAATATTAGTAATATAAATTTAGAAACAAACAATTTATTCACACTTACTCGTATTCAATATAATGTTCAGCTATCTGTGGGTCATACATCATTTTTGCGTTTTTTAGCTTCTCTTCTAACTTTTTTATAAATTCATGCCCCACTATTGGCTTACTGCCCATTTCTGCATAATGGTTGCCATAAAAATTAAAGCCTGTTAATATTTTGTGGCGTTTTTGTTGATCACTAGATACAGCTTTAACACAGTCTTCAACCCAAGATAACGGAGCGTTAGGTCCGGGTCTGCGAGGATTTGAATAATCATAAGTCATTAAGGAAAACGCAGTAGTGTGATTATATAATGAATTAAAGTGATTTTCGTTAAATGGTAAATTACGTCCCCGTTTAGGAGGAATGACTAGGATCATCTCTAGATTTTCAAGAGCTAAGCTATCACCTAATAAAAATTCATTTAACTCTTTTCAACAGCACTAAACATGATTTTACCAATAGTTTTTACAAAGTCTACAAGAGGCTGGTAGTTCATTGGCATTTCCAGTTGCGGCCAAATTTCTATAACGTATCCATCAAAACGATTTGAACTTGCCGTTTCAATTAGTAACTTGATCAACTGTTTTGCGTGCTTGGGATTGGAAAATAAATCATTAATATCTTTTTCACCAAGGCTACTAAACAAAACTCTAGGAAGAACTAAATCATTTGTTAGCTGAAAAAGTGCATAAAGAAATTCATACTCTTAAGTTTTCTTTCTCTTCCCGCGTTTCGCACATGAACCATCCACTTTTTATCAATATCATGGGTTCCGCTTAGTTCATACACCACTGGTCGCTTCACTTCTAACCAAACAGGACTTATGTAGGTAAACTTATTACCAAAAATTTTGGCAATATCGTAACCTTCACTATTCCACTAAAACACAACTGATGAATAAGTTACCTTAAAAAATACTTCCGAACACACAGGTGTAACATAACCCAATACATGACCCTCAAATTGAAAGTCATCAACTTCTCGAAAGTACCCCTGATAATTCTGTAAAATTTCCTTAGGAACAACCGTCTCGGTAACTAAACTTCGGTCAAAAACCGTCAAGTTCTGGGGGCCGCTTTTAATTTTGGCTAACCTTAAATCGTCATTTTTTCGTGACTTTGGTGTTAAAGTAGCTTCCGTGCAAAGATGAGTGTAAGAGTCAATTATGACAAAAACAATTAGTAAAGATAACATTATGTACAATTTGGAATTTAGACGCAAACAAAATGAGGTTAAGTTATATATTGACGTTTGTTGATGTGAAAAAGTTGTTAGACGTTTTTGCTGTCGAAAATTTATTCTGTCAAAAAGCGATTCTTGACGTTTTGTTGGTGACCCGTTGCTGTTTGAGGTTATAATAATCGAAATATTTACTTTACTTATTTCTTGCTCATTTTTACAAGAACAATAGACAACATTTCATGATGATGGCCGCACCTCCACAGGCACTTGTTAACCGTAACAAGAAACATTTTCTGGGAGTCCCTGCACCACTAGGTTATGTTGCTGGTGTTGGTAGAGGGTAAGTTTTGTAAATAGGTGAATAAGTGTAGTTGCTTATGTTATTGTTATTTCAGTGCTACAGGATTTACGACACGATCAGATATCGGTCCAGCCAGAGATGCTAATGATGTTTCGTAAGCCATCACATAAATTGTATAAATATTGAGTTACGAATTATCTTTTTTAAGGGATGATCGACATGCACCTCCCGCTGCCAAACGAACGAAAAAGAAAGAAGAAGAGGAAGAGAAAGAAGTACATGTCACTTATTAGCATTTTTACGGTAATGTTTATAATTTTGTTTCAGGAAGAAGAAGATTTGAATGACTCAAATTATGATGAATTTAGTGGATATGGAGGGTCACTATTTTCCAAGGATCCATATGATAAGGATGATGCTGAAGCGGATGCAATTTATGAAGCCATTGATAAAAGGATGGATGAGAAACGTAAAGAATATAGGGAGAAACGTTTACGGGAGGAATTGGAGAAATATCGACAGGAAAGGTAAAGACATACTTTTTGTGTGATCACATCTTTCATTTGAACAAAAACAAAAAAAGTTTATAATGTAGAAACATAACTACTGCAAAAATTCTTTACGAACAAAATATGAACAATTTTAAATTAAATTACTGATTTAATAAGAAAAAATACAAAAAAAGTAGTGTTAATTAAAAATTGCACTTCAGGGCTAAGAGAAGTTCTGGGTAAATAACTTTTTGTTGTTAATGGTAAATGAATATGAATTAATTTTATTAACAGGAAAATTTATGTATTTTATACTACTAACAAAAATCAAATTTAATACTAAAAAGTAATGCATTACTTTAACAATTACTTTTTGCACTTTAAAAAATTTGATGACACAATTTTATATATTTGTTGTATGGGTCCAAAGGATCAAGGAAAAACTTGTTAGAATCAAAAAATGCAGTGAGTGATTTATTTTTATTACATGTTACATATTTTACCAAAAATTGGAGAACCTATTCTTTTGCGCCTAATTTTATTCCACTCTAGCTACAAATAAAAGTTCGATGCCAACTGCAACAACTTTTAAACAAAAATTTGTATTGGTGGGAGATTTTAAAATATTTTATTGGCTACGTGTAAATGTATCGTAAATCCACCGATAATTACCTGCGGACGCAAATCTTTTAATCTTTAATAAAAAGGATGTTCCTAAATGCTTAGAAGGGGGCTATAAGATAATGCAAACTTAAAAATTTGTCCTTAATTGCGTTTTACTTGGTGTTGTGACGTACAGATTAAATTTAGAAAACTTTAGAGGGTGGACACTCTCATAAAATTTTTATGGGGGATTTAAAAGGACGGGCTCTATCGGTTACCTGTTATATATTTGAGTGAACCAGAAAAATGGCTAAAATTTGTTTGACCACAATATTCTGCCCCTGTTTACTCAATTATTTATTAAAATATTTTATTTCTGTAAAGCGCAATGGATTTTTTAATACAATTTCTACTAATGTACCTTTTTGAAAATTTTATTTTTGGTAAAAATTTAGACAGAAGTTTATATGTATTTCCCTATGCTGGAATATGCTTTAGCTCACCCTTAAAATGATGAAAAGCTTATGTTATGGTTACTGGGTTTCTTAACAAATTCAAAACTAAACAATATTTTTGAGCATGTGGGTTAAAAGTGATTGCAAAAAGTAATTGTAAAAGTGACTGAATTGCTCAAAAAAAGTAATTCGTTACAGTCACCGATTACATTTTTTGAAAAGTAATGCATTACAATTACTCATTACTTAAAAAGGAATTGAATTACAGTAATGAATAACCTGTAATTGAATTACTTCCAATGACTGCATGTACGGATTATTCACAAGGAAGTTCCACCACAGTATAGAGATCATTCAGTAGGGACAACTCGTGTCGGTGCCTTTGATCTTTCTGACCCGTCATCGGTGGTCGTTGCTTAAAATATTTCTAGATATCGCCACCCAATTTAAAAAGCATCACAAACGCTTCATTTAAAATTGATTGGTGTACCCAATTTACTACATTTTGTGCAAATGAATTTTTGGAAAAGAATTAAAAATTGTGTAATAACAATAACATTTTGTAACTAGTTGATCTTAGAAATCACACATTCTATAATAATAAATAATGAATTAAGCGCCCTACAACATAGATGCCGTGTTGAAATTTAGATTTGGTCCCGCTTCTCTGATTACGATTTTACGTTTTTTATTTATTTTTTTTACAAAAAAAAAATAAACAGTAAACAATGGTCCCATTAAAACATGAACAATCCTTTTTAGAATGTCTCTGTGAAAATGACACTTAACTGCAATAATTACACCGGAAGATTATCCTTAAATCGTCAAAACCAATGCAACTAAACTGCCAAATTTCAAATATTTCACATTAAAGTCACTAGATAACCAAAGTACCGCAGTTCAATGTCCCAATGTGTAAGAAAGAGAAGTACCTTGCGTTGCGCGCCCTCATACGGTCACAAGACAAACGACCACCCATGAAAACGGGTCAGTAAAAATAGCGAGTTGTCCCTACTGAATGATATCTATATGTCTATACTGTGGTTCCACGCCTAAAATTCAAGATGCAACCACAAATACAATTTCAAGCATATCTTTGATGTTTCATACTATGTATTTAAAAAAAAAAAAACGGAAATAGTAAAACGTACTGTCACATACTATCATATAAAAAATGACAATTCGTCAGAATTGATGCAGAGTGTGCTGAAACGACGAAAAGACTGATATGATTTTGATATTTGGTCAGTGCTGTACAGTTATATAGAGAACATTATCCGTATAGGAGGTATCGTGACAAGGTCTTGTTTTGATTTTGTTTACATTTAGTTTTAATCTAACAATTGACGTTTGTTTATTTCCAAATTATCAAACCCCTACAGCCATGTTTTACTTAAAAAATAGTGAGAGTAAGAATAAAAAAAAAAAACAACAGTGGATATTTACTAGAGAAAGGACTATGCAACCAATATGATAAATTTTAGCGAAATAGTTGTTTATGTTGTACCAAGGGTGGCTACGCCTCGGCCATCAAACTGGAAACTTGTCTAAAATAGGCAGTTTTTTGCCAAGGTGTATATTACATTTTTCCGTCGAACTTCCAGATTCTAGCAAATTAAAAATGCAACAACTCCTTATTTTCATTATAATTGACATTGATATTGATTGAAGGTTGATCAACAAAGTGCTGCAAGAAAAGCTACCTGTGTCCGTGATTTAAATCGAAATAACTGTCGATTTTGTGTATTGGCGTCTACCACACCTCAAGATGTAGCAGTTATAAAGATTTCATCTTTGCATCGGATTTGTAAATTGGTTAAGAAGGCCTAGAATCGGTTTGCACTCTTTTTGTGAACCTGACTTATCAAAACAGTGCTAGTTGTGGTCAGATAACTTATTTGTGTCCCCCTGATTCTTCGGGAACCAAATAAACAGCCGTTTGGCTGGGTTCTGCCAAAATGTCAACAAGTTCAATTTCAACTTTTTCAGTTTCCAAAAAAAGAACAAACCATTGTCCTAAATGTAATTAGTGACCTGAAACTCACAGACTATGTCGTTGCAGTGGGAGAAATTATACAACCTAAAAACATACTGTTTGCTTCTCGTATAGCGAACAATACAATATGTATTTATTTTAGTAGTAAGGATCTGGTCGACCAGATTTTTAATTGCTCAATCATGTACACTAATCTTGGATCTCTGACCGCAAAGTTTGATGATTTAACAGTTCTCGTTACTCAACAGAAACCTACTATACTCTTAATAACTGAAACTTGGTTGAATTCAAAAATACATATTACGGATTCAATAGTATCATTACCAAATTATATTCTTTACTGATCAGATCGTAAATCAGGAAGAGGGGGAGGTATGCATCTATTTGTCTACCCAAATAATTTCCAATTTTTCTGTATCACCTTTAGATATTGTTCTTGATAATGTCGAATCATTATTTATAAAAAATTCCTATCGTCAAGTATGTTTCGTATTTATAAGACTCCTTCAACAACATTGTGATCGATGTTCACCTGTTTCAAAGCCTGACGGAATTGGCAAATGACCATGACAATCTTCTTATTTTCGAAGACTTTAATATGCCGCAAATAACCAATAATAATCCATCGCTAATCACGGTTCGGACCAATCTTCACAACTTTTAGTCGATTTTATAAAGTAGTCATTTATGTCAAGTTGTGAATAAACCCACGAGATACAGACAGAATCAAACACCGTCGATCTCATAATATTGTCAGACGTGAATCTTCTTTCAAATTTGAGTTACGGTTCTCCTGTTGGTATTTTTGACCATGTTACTTTGTCAGCACAGCTGCAACTTTGTTGTAATCTTCAGGGTATGAGAAGAGTTTTCACTAAATTTTATACTGACTATGCAGTGCTGAACCATGACATCAGTAACTGGGAGACTTTGTTGAGTTCGGTGTCTGTAGATGATAACTGGATCATATTTAAAGAGCACTTAGTTGACAAAAATACTGTTAAACAAACTGTGACTCGTTCAACGGAAAAACCGTGGATTAGTAAAAACATTACTCCAGATGGTTTGTAAAAATAGAGCATTGTGGAAGCGATTCAAGAATAGCCGATCTGACACTGACTATGCAATTATGTTTACTCAATGGATGGAGTAGTATTAACCAGTACTAATACTCAATTGGGTCTAGGTGTAATAGTAAACTCAGAATTGACATGGAGTGATCACATCGTGAGTGTCATTAAAAAGCAAATTCCCTTGGGTACTTACTCCAAAGATCTTTTATAAAACCAAGACTAAGCACCAAGTTAAAGTTGTATAAAAATTTTATAAGACCAGTACTGGAGTTTGCAAATAACGTTTGGTGGCCTGTGCTCATTGAAGATCAAAATCCTTTAGAGTCAGTACTACAAGGTTTGGAGTCAGTACTCGTCTTCCCTATGGTAATAACCCTTTGTGTCGTTACCCACATTGAAGGACAAAAAAATTAGAGGGAATGTAATTTTCACCTTCAAATCGTTGAGGCTCGAGAATCCATTGATGCAGAATTTATAGGCCTTATGCCCATACTCCAGAACTAGAAGTTATTGCTTCAAATTGAAAAAGAAGAACTTTCGCACAACTGTAAGACACTTCGTAACAAACAGAGTGGTTGACACTTGGAACAAGTTGCCGGAGGAAGTCGTCCAGACTCCTAATGTAAATATTTTTAAATCTAGAATTGATAGTTTATAAATTGTTAACATATTGTTTGTAATTGTACAGTTCCAGGGGCATAAGAGGGCTTGCCCTCTGCCCTTTATCTTTTATTAATAATAATAATAATAATACTCAAAATGAAAATTAAAATGGTTATGTTATTCGTACACGCTGCTAAAAAACACCAAGCCAGCACTGTGCCGTATCTAGAGCGAACGAGAAGTGTTAAGTGTTGAAAAAAGGACCATTTTTTTGACCAAAAATTATAAGTACGTAAAATGTTATTT